GGGGGTGGGAGGGAGAGGGGGGAGCGGGAGAGAAAGCGGCAGAGAGAGAGAGAAAGCGAATATGTGTATATGTACACCCCATTACACCACATGATCATACCGCCAAATAAGTAAACAAAGACGCGTGTCGGTATGCGGCATATATAGCGCTATTATATTGTATATGGAATGTTTCACTTTGTTGTCATTCATACAGTGACAGCGAGTAGGCAACAGCTCCATTTGTCGTTATACGCGATCGCAAAAATTATTAAAAGATATCTGAAACTCGATCTCTATAATAATTAGTAATTAACGATTCACAAGCGATTGCTATTTGTCGAAGCAGATATTAGCTTCGTGTGATTTATTGTTATACTAATATACTAATATAAAGTAAGAATAATTACACAAAAAGCAGTGAAATCCCACTAAAAAAAAACCTTGGCGTATTTTTTTTACCTTTGTGAGGTTTTTTTTAGTGGGATAATATATTCTCAATAATTATTACGAAAATCGCAAAATGGTAAAGGACTTTTCTGTTCAGTTTACTGTGCTCTACCCGCTCACGAGCGTTGGCACAATCTTTACCTGACACCCTGTATATATATATACGGTATATATTATATAGTGAGTTATGATTATTCAAAGGCAGTAACTTTTTTTTTTGGAAAAATTTTTCTTTTTCTGAGTAACCATAACTCTCTCAAAATTTTTTATATTTTTTTTATTCTAGTCTGTTTTATGCGCAAACATCTACAGATTATAAAACTGGTCGATTCTTTTGTTACAAATAATTTTTGGTGTCTCTGGAAGTTCCACCGTCATTTATCTCACCGGGCTGCTTGATCCGCCCCCTCGCCCCCCCCCCCCACAGCTCCAAATACCATGGTGATATATTTTTGTGGATACCAAAGTTTATCATTCTATTTTTATTAGTTCCTTTCCTAAAAATTTCGAAAAATTACCTATTTTTCAATGCTAACAAAATAGAAACCCCCCTTAAAAGAGATAGACCGTAACAAATATATATCAAATTAAATGATTCAAATATGGCCAATTTCGGATTGAGTATTATGATCAAATGGCAATATAATATATGTCAATCTCTAATGCACGAATCAGAAGTTGGCCATAATGTAGGGCAGAAAGGTGAAAAGGTAGACGTCGCCGCGATATTTCAAGTCGATACAATTCGTAAAATATGTAAAATACTTACATTATATCATACATTGCTGTATTCGTTTCAAACAGCGCTACAACTTTTATTATATCAAAATATTCACATTATTATAAAAAAATTATGCATACCTCTTCGTTCGTTAACACAAATAACTTTTGAAAGCAACCACTATGCTCACAATAAAGTTCAGTTTGAACCATTTAATTTGATATATACTTGTTACCGTCATCTCATTTAGTTTAAAAGATAAAAGGGAGTGGCCACTTTTGGTGAGACATTCTGTATATATATATGTACGTATGTATGTATGTATGTATATAAGTCATATTTATTACATTTGTAACTCCATTAATATATTCTATAATAATTCTATGTTTATTATTCTATTTGATAAAGTTAAAAATCCGATGGATTTGTACTACTGAAAGAATGATAAATTTTGAAAAATAGCCAAAGTTCACCAATTTTATATATCGTATGTATGTCATATTAGAGAAATGTCATCATTTATCGTCATAGATATGATGTCAACGGTCTGTGACTTAGGACCGTCATTTTAACGTCACTTTTACGTCGTTTTAAAGATGAATTTAACGTAACCAGTGACTAAAAAATGATATTATAATAATGACACCTTGCTATCTGGGATAGTTTTGAAATGGTCAAAGATCTCTAAAAAATGAAGGAAAGCATCTTTGAGTTTTATTAAAATCGTTTTATCTGAACTGAATTAATAGAACTGAGCTAATCTATTATCATCATCGAAATATTTATAAATAATGTAGCACGTTTGTTTTGCAAACTTGAGTTTTTAATATCTTAATGATTAATCGGTAAACAAGTAAGTCATCAATTATTTGGACAAGTCATCATAGATTATTTGGTGCATTAAACGCTTGCTCGGAAAGTGACCTCTAAACGTTAAAAAAACAATGCATAAATAACCAAGACGTACTATAAAAGTAACAGAATTAACGTTTTGCGTTTTGCGCAAGGATAGAGTAGTAAAATTCAAAGGCTATGAGTATTTTATAGTAACCGTAAACATAGAAGCTTCAATCTCAATGAGCTTTTTCTATTGGGAATTAATGGCAGTATAGAAAAGTATCACATGCTTTTCAAATTACCTGGCTCCTCCTTCTCCTGAAGACAGATGTCCCTTGCGCAGATAACCTCGACTTCGAGAGCTCCCTTGCAAAGGTAGAAACCCAGTTGCACTTCGCCATTCTGCGCGCCTGCAATATACATGATCGCAATAAAATAAATATGGTGGAAGCATTCAGTTTAGACAAAAGCTGCGTATATGGCTAAATAATTTTAATAGAGTAAAGTTAAAAAACAATAAATTAAAAGTTTAACATGAATAAAAGCTGATTTTCGTGATTTTCGGATAATGACCAAGTATCCAGCTAACATTAGCTCTAAATTATATTTTAAATTTAATCTTAAATTAGATGTATTACCACTGATTATTTTGTATCCTTTCGGCAACACCTGTCCGCGACCCAGTTTTAGATCGACGCCGTTTTCATTTCTCGCTGACTGACTGCAACAACAAGAAAGCCACATATATTCAGTTACGTTTAGTTTAATAAATTTGAATTTAAAGTGGTTTCTATCCACTCTTTTACCCATACAGCACAGATCATTGCGATTATATTGCAGCAACATTGCAATGTTGCAAATTGCAATGCAACATTACAAAGACATTATTGCAAATTCATTACATTGCAATGTTGCTATAATATTTTGTTGCAATATTTCTAAAAGCGGACATTTTATCATTGCTGCAATTCCACAGCAATGATGCAGCAACATTTTGCAGTGAATTTGCAAAGTTGCAATATTGCGGTGAAAGATTGCTACAATATGTATGCAATCTTTGTGTGCTGTATGGGTATCGTTAAATACACGATGATTGAAACACAATATTAATGATGTTGCGAAGTATGTAATTGATGAATCGATAATAAACACACTGTAAATGCGGTTGGAATAGATATATTTTAACTTGTCACAAGAAAGATGAATCGCATACCTCCATTTCTCATCTTCGTCGGATTCACTATTTCGATCGTAAAATCTCTCAGGAATCTCCATGACGCTGTCTTTGCGCTCACCCCGCCCTACGAGTTGAAAGATATCTTTTCACATTATTGATCATTGACAGGCCGCAATCTATATGGCGTTGCACGAATAAGCAAAAATCTGTTACTAAATCGATCAACTTTACTCATCACACATAATTATCACTCCTATCGATTATTTCCTAAGTGCATAACCATACAGATTGCAGTTAGGTTATCGAAAAAGACAATTTACACCTGCCAACCAGAAGAGTCAGTTCTACAGGTTTGTTGTTTTAAACTTAGTTTGGAGATAGATTTCTCAGAAAAGCTTCCTACTAAACAATACGACAATTGCATAGCGTCTTCGATCGTATGAATTTCAGTACGATTTTTTTTTTAATAATCTATATTTTATTATTAATATACAGGGTGTTTGATAATAATCGCCTCACCCGTAATGTGCAGATATAGCGGGTTAGATCGAATAGGAAAGTCTTCTACCGTTTTGAGATTTTTGCAATAATTATTGAGAAATTAATTAAAAAAGATCGGCCAATGCGCGCGAGTATTAGCACATTGCGAGAAAGGACGGCCTACGCGACATCGCGGTTGGGTCGCGCCACGAATAATATTTCCTATTTTTTATACGAAAATTCGGTGTTCCGCGACGCTCGTATATAAACATTACTATCCGCCCCTCTCGCCCCTCCTTCGCTTCGTGGCGCGACCCAACCGTGATGCCGCGTGAGCCGTCCTTTCTCGCAGCGCGTTGATACTCGGGCGCATTGGCCGATCTTTTTTAATTAATTTCTCAATAATTATTGCAAAAATCGTAAAACGATAGACGAGTTTTTTACTCGATTTAACTCGCTTTTCTTGCACATTACGAGTGGGGCGATTGTCAGACACCCTGTACATCCCACGTCTTTTTTTTTATAAAATATTTATTAAAATTAATATTTGATAAAATTAACAATATTTCGTAAAATGACGATACTGTATTGGTGGTCTTATTTAATTGCCATTTCATATAGGTAATTACTTGGCACGATTACGATAACTTTGGCCCCCTATTTGAAAGGTCGTTTCTGAAGACATTTTTGACGAGGAACACGGGAAAAATAGTAAAAAAATTTTCCGACCGATAGTTTTCGAGATATATCACTTTAAAGTATTGGACATGATAATAAAACGTTACAAAACGGACCCCAACGATGTTGACCTTGATATATGTTGTCAAGATCATGATCCTGAGTAACTTTTCCTTATAACTTAATCGGCGGTCTCTTATAATTTTTGAGATATTTAAAGTTAAAGTTTAATTCGAAACGAAAATTTGGTTTGGGTTATATAACGTAACCCAAACCAAATTTTAGTTTTAAATCAGAAATAGGTTTGGGTTAGGTT